TTATGTTAAACCACGTCAACTAATTTAAAGTAAGTTAAAAAATTGCACTGTTTTGAAATAAGAAAAATTTACCAAAGATTAAAAAGTGCACCGTTTTGAAATAAAAAAATTTCACCACACTTTAACGACATTAACGTTGTTTTCTCTCATCTTTTCCAAAAAATATCGCTCCCTCTCCTCTTGCTCATTCTCATTCCTCTTGTTCATTCCCACGACTGGGGAATATTTAAGCCGCTATAATAGATTTTGCAGTTTAAATTTCAAAAAAGAGAGAAATTTTGCTATTTAGATTCCAGAAAAAAAGAGAGTAAAAAAAAAGAAGGAATTTTGCAATTTAGATTTCAAAAAAAAGAGTGAACTGGAGCTTCTACGATTGGGGAAATATTTAAGCATCTATAATGGATTTTGCAGTTTAAATTTCAAAAGAGAAGGAATTTTGCAATTTAGATTTCAGAAAAAAAGAGTGAACCAGAGCTTCTAGGCGCCAAAAATCGTGGCAAAAAACATTCATTTTTGGCATGAAATATTTCTCCAATCGTGGGAATGAGAAAGAGGAGAGAGAAAGAGCGATCTGTTTTTTAAAAAGATGAGAGAGAGAAGACGTTAACCGTTTAAGTATGGTAAATTTTCTTTATTTTAAAATGGTGCAAATAAATTTTAAATGTCACGTGTCAATGCATAGAATTCAATTTAAGATAATTTAGAGAAAATTTAACTTAGATGATTCAAGTCCTAAATTTACGACCAATTTTATTCTTATGAAAACTTGGGTAATAGACCTTCTACTTTAAAAATAAAGTACTACTAAATTACAAATCTTAATCAATTAATTAAATACGCTAATAAATATTTTAGATGACATATTCCAAAAACATAAAAATTTAGGGGTAATGGAACAAGTTTTCAAATTTTTTAGGGGCATCCTCACCCACCTCGCCTACTATAGGTCCGCCCTTTAGATGGGTAATAATGTTACTTTACAGACTCCTCATATAAAACTACATATATAGATGTGGCCCACAACAAAAAGAAAGTATTAAAATTTACCTCGTAGCCATGCTTTGCCTTGTTATTGCTTGTGCTCTTCAGGCACATCGATAAAAGCTCACTGATAATCTTTTTAATCATCATTATAGTAATATACATTTAATATATCTGTATAATATTCACTAAATTATATATATGTTTTGATTCATGGTATATAAAAAGCTAGGAGGAAATCATACAATGGGTAAAACTGCATCATTGTTGGTGGGACTTCATCTTAGTACACACTATGATGACTGCATTCCTATAATCAATACCATATATTATTATTGATCCTCTTTTTAATTTTCTTCCAAGTAAAACATTAATATATATATTAATGTTACTCTTTTTTCTTTTTGTTAGGGTAAGAATGTTAAGAGTTAGTAATTAGTTGTCAGAGAAGAGGAGAAGGAAAAATTATTAAATGGTCGTGATCATTTGACACTTGGTGGACTAATCTAATAAAAATAAATGTTGAGATTTCTTTGTTATATATTAATACACTATTGTATGATTATTTTTTCAATCCGGTAAATTAATTTCAATTGATTTATATAGTGTTAAATGACTATATAATAATTTCTTAAACAAAATGGTGCAAGGTTCGAACATTAACTTTTAAATTTGAAGAGTAATTCAACCACTTTATAAAGGATTCTTACACTTTGAACATAAAAAAATTATACTAGATATTAATTTTTTTCTAATTCTAAACTGTTAATTGGATAGTCCCAAACATATGAAATGGACCGCACTTTTATGGACTATCACAATAAATCACAGTGAGAGGGTGAAACTGCATCATTTAGAGAAAGGTGCTGATGCATCGTAGAAGATGATCATTTAGAAAAGATAGGACTATTTGTCTTTATCGAATGCAACAAAGTTGGTGTCTCTCAACATTAATATATATATATATATATATATGATGTGTATAATTTCTTTAATGTAGATGATGACTGATGAGGACATAAAGTTGTTTGATAAAGAAAGCTAAATGAGATGATGGCAATGTCTTTGTCCTTCCCAAACACCAAAACCCTACTCTTTGGGGATTATTCTGGTTGGATTGTTGTTTTGGGTTGCTTCTTTTCATTAGCAAGCCAAACAAGGCATTGTTCTAACATTGTTCTCTTTATTTGTTTCTTTCTTATCAATTTGAGGTTTAGGTCACTGCTGGCTTATAAATAATAAATCCATAGCTATCTGGGAATCTAATGTGTGTGTTGAAGAAGTCTAGATTGATGAAATTGTGGGCCTTTTGTGGGTTCCACTGCTTAAAATAAACCCATAGCTAACTGTTTTTATGATGGAATTTAATATGTGGGTTGAAGAAGTCTAGATTGATGAAGTATGGGTGGGCCATTTGTGGGCCTTCAAGATTGTGGCCCACTGATGCTGACAGTACAAGTATCATCACATATAATTCATATCAAATCCACTACATACTATGCTTAAAAAAAATAAAAATGGCATTGGATTGAAGTTAGTAAAAGACTCATTCATAAATTAAACTCAATGCACACGTGTCAACGATCCAACAGGAAGTAGATCTTCATATAGATTTTGATCCTCACCTAACCCTTACGGATTGGTTCTTCTCTAATCAAGTCTCTTTCCTGAAATATGCGGTAATCACACTGGTTAAAGTTGATATCAAAAATTTTGTTACAATTGTAAGTGACATAATTTGACCCGATGATGACATGGTTGAATTTGGACTACATAATCGAGATATGTGATGTCCAGTCCAAGAGAAAAATTTGGCCGGAAACTATCCAAATCAGTTTTACACTGATAACATTTATTCTACTAACACTATTTTGCAATTTTATAAATTTCTTGACCACAAACTTTTTAGGATCTCTCATTAACAAAATTCTATTATCGATAATGAAATGACTTAAAATATGGGGTTGATTATAAAATTATATTTATATATGGATAATTGTCTCACTATTATTGATACTTTGGAAGTGAAGTGGGTTGTCTATCAAAACATGATGGTACAAGGTGTTAAGTATATGCCACCAAGATCGCCAACTAAGAGCCAGTGTAGTAGGTGTTACATAGGCTTTCAAGTCAGCACCGAAACCTTTCTCTGATTGTTTGGGCATATGGTAATGCCAAAAAATGGGCCCACTGAATTATGAAATTAAAGTGTGATAGTTTGAGCATCCCATTGATATTATTGGCTTTTGTTCTGTGGAGAAAGCGTGTGGTTATGATGAATGAGTCTTTTACCTTGTTTCAGGCCCAAATTACATATGTCCCACTCTACATAATTCACTAACTGCCCTTTGTTTTTCTTCTCTAAGGGAATTTGGTGTTCAAGAGGCCACACTTTGCAAAATACATTCAATTGAAAAGAAAAACCAAGACCTTTGTGGTAGATTTTATGAGGTTGAATCAAGATTTGACCATATGATTTTTATTAGTTTATCTCTCTCCCTCCATGTGTATTTCATTCGCGTGGATGATTTATTTTCTTATTTTGAATCGTGACTTTTAGGTCAGAATGATTACCGTATCTCATTCATGTGGATGAATTATTTTCTTATTTTGAACCGTGACTTCTAGTTCTAGGTCAGAATGATTATCATATCTCATTCATGTGGATGGATTATTTTCTTATTTTGAACCGTGACTTCTAGTTTTAGGTCAGAATGATTATCGTATCTCATTCATGTGGATGAATTATTTTCTTATTTTAAACCGTGACTTCTAGTTCTAGGTCAGAATGATTACCGTTGCTCTAAGTCTTTATATTAGTGCCCGAGTAGATAAACCTACGCCATTTGACATTCCTGCATTTTGATGCCTAATAATGGTGCCATTTCTTGTAAAAATAATTACTCAAACAGTTCATTAGTAAGGAAACATGTCATATTGTTTGACAAAGAATTTGCTGCAATTATCATATTTTGGATTGAGCTAGAAACGAGACACTTGTGTCTTCCACTTTACTATATTATATTAAGACTTTGTGGGGGGCTACATTTGAAAGTAGATAATGTGTTGATTGTAAGGCAGTTTTGGCGTAATTTTCAGGGCAACAAATAGGCTTTTAGGCCTCAGATAGCCATCCTAAGATTAAATTGAAGGAAGACCTTTATTAAGTTTTTTAGTCCCTTTTCACATTTTATATAGTCCCTTTAGAAAGGTCTATGGTACTCTACTCTCAATCCCAAATTTCAAATGTTGTCCTTTGAGGACATCATTAATTCACTCTGACTGTTTAATACTCCAATGTTTTGAAACTCAAGTGCAAGGTTCAATGAAATTGAGAAAAGTCCACTGTTCCCAAACAGAGGCCATTTAAGGAAAGATTAATACACTTCTCTCACTCTACGGATAGGCCGTGAACTAGGGTCGTGAACGGGCCTCCAGACCCTGCAGTGGCGGGAACCTCGTGCAATGTGCTAATGTGATATCTACCCTGCAAGCTCTCTCATTGAGACACACATAATATACGTTGTCCTGTGATGAAAGTTGCAGCATCTTCAGAAAGCTTGTGAGGTGTGAGTTTCTAGCAAACCATAGACCCGCGTACCTTATCAATTGAATGTGTCAAAACAAGTACCTGGTTACTTGATATTATAAATTCAAAAAGTCCTGATGAGGGTACTTAAAAATATTTTATTGAAAATACATCAAAGTACAGAAACACAAAGAAGATTTATGCAAAACCTGCCAAATATGTCTTCCTCACAAAGTCATAGTCTTCTAGACTAGGACTCAAGAGTCCGATCAGATGACTTAACCATTCAAAATAGTAGTGCCTCATTTGTCAAACCATGAACTTTGTCAATCTATTGAAAACTGATGGGAGGATGAGAGGTCATTAAAACAGAGTTCTAGATATATTTAAATTAAGGAGAAATTAAATTTGATAAAGAATGCACTTCTTAACATTGACGATGGCATAAAGAGGTTTTGCACATTATTGTTCATGGTTATCCGTCCACATCTTTGTTAAAACTGAAACTTCAAATTGAATAATATATCAATCGTGAAAAAGAGAAAAAGACAAAAAAATAAAAATAAAAATTACAGCGACTGCCTTCAAAAGCATATTTTGCAGTTATTTGGGTAAAAATTTCATTTTCTTAACTTCTTCACCCGCCCTCTTCAAGCACTATTAGTAATTTAAGTAGCAGCTCAACAGAAAATGTTATCTAGAAGTATCTAAAGAAGCTCACAAACAGAATATAATTTATGCTCTCTCGACAGAAAATGTTATCTAGCAGTACCTAATGAAGCTCACAAACAGAATATAATTTATGTTCTCACGGAACGTTCATAACTTGAATCGATTGCAACATGTCAGAGACAGCGATGACCAGGTCACCTGATTTGATCATTCCTCTGGCCTTGAGCAAGGAGAAAGTTTTATTTAGGTTGTTTTCCATGTCATCAGAGAAGCTCACGCGGAAGGGTATCAGGCCCCACTGCAAGTTTAAACGCCTCCTTACAGATGATGTGGTTGTAAAAGCAAAAATTGGGCAGTCCGGTCGGCAGCGTGATAGCAGAGATGCCATGTGCCCTGTCTTTGTGTAAACAAAGAGGGCGTCGACCTCCAAATTGTTAGCTGCAAAATCACAATCAACATTAGAATCCATAAGAAGTCCTCAACCAACCCCCACTGTCTCTTCCAAGAATGAAAAAGAAACTGCAACCATGTGAAAAGTTGTGATAGAACTTTTGAGTTCCAATGGCAGGAAAGAGTAGGCCAATGCGTTAGGCACTGTTATCCTACGCAATAAAAGACAATACAAATTTGAAGAGAGAGAGAAAAAAAGAAGAGGGGGGGTGGTTGTTGTAACATAGATGATCAAACACCATTGATATGCCCTACCAAAAAGGGGAAAACGAGAAAACAGAACACACAATCAGCACAGCATGTACCATGTCCAGAATGGACTAATTCAGTGGGATCTCCAAGTGCTCCTTTATTCTAGTTTCTGGTTATGCTTTTATGGGGGTGATTACTTATTTTTTGTTTCTTTTCTTCCAGAAACTGAAATGAGATCATTCATAGGTATCCCACAAAGACCTTACTTTTAAGTGCTTAAAAAGACATATAAATGAGCAACCCCACTATCTATACTCAGTAGATTTTGATGGAACATATAAATGCCATTAAAATTAAAAAGAAAGAACATGATTACAATACAATGGTGATCATGGATTACTGGATAGTATATGCATAAAATATTTGGTGATATCGTTCTGGTTTTCTAGAGGATAATTACACTGCCCAGAGAACACAATCCAAAACCATGACTTAATCAACATCTGATGCAATTTTGCTAAAAAAAAAATGTACGCATAAATTCTTCTACAAAATAATCTTAAATATTAAGAATTTGCATTTTACCATTAAATTTGCTGATTTAATGTTCACTGGAAAAAATGTGTTACCCACAAATTCACTCTGGATGGGTTTGGTATTCTTTACTCTTGACTTAGAACTGAGAAGAATATTTCCTATATTCTATATACAAAAAATAGGACCTGTTATCATGATTCACTGATCACTTCTTGCCTCCAGTGATAAATTAGAATGTTCACAAACAAAAGAAGCCATATAGTTATGCCCTCATGAGAAATGCATCCCCAATAAATAATGATGCTTGAACATTACAAGAAGCTTATTGCATGGATGGAGCATAAAATATGAAATGCACTTGAAAAACCAAATTCATTAGAAGAAATCTAAACCTGAAGAATTCTTACCCATCTTAGCAGCAGAGTTGCAAATCTCTTCTGAAATGCTGTCTGAGAATGTAGATGATATGTCTGAAAGTTCCATAGCTTCGTGGCGTTTCTCTTCCCTCCACCACCTCTCAATTCTCAAGCTAACACTTCTCAGAACAGTCAATGATTTCTCAGGGAACTGGCCCATGGCCGACTCACCAGAAAGCATTAAAGCATCTGCTCGTTGCCTAACTGCTTCGGAAACATCAGCCACCTCTGCTCTTGTGGGCGTGGGATATTCAATCATTGATTCAAGTAACTGAGAGGCAACAATGACAGGTTTATTTAACTGCCTGCATACTTGAACAATCTTTTGCTGGGCTGATGGCACCTGTTCCAAAGGAATCTGAGCACCCAGATCTCCTCTTGCTACCATAGCTCCATCAGATGCTTGAATGATCTCTTCCAAGTTCTTTAATGAGTCAATACTCTCTATCTTTGCAATTACAGCAATATCACTGCATCATCACAAGAAAAAACACTACCAGTCTAAACCACTCACATAAAAAGGAAAAATGAAGGACCTCATGGTTTCTCATCCTAAAAACTAGGTAAAGGGCATATTGAAGTTCCCAAAAAGATGGATGTACTTTAATTGCTCTGGAAACAGGGGAAAAATTATAACAGTGCAACAATTTCAATAACAGTCAATAATAATACAGTAAGCCAGTAAATCAAGTTTTCTCTGGTTTTTTCTTTCCTAGTTGATAATCAAACACCCTCTCCCCCCTCCCAAGGAATTGTTTGCACCCAAGAGGCAAGAGGAGTCGAACCACAAACCTGATGCTTCACGAGGCACCGGGGCCAAGTGACTTACCCACTTGAGCCAACCCCTTGGGGTTATGATCTCTTGTTAATATGTGAGCCAATAATGAATGATTCACAATGCGATGTGAATAGTCCAATTTGGACTTGAAAAGTGAAAACTGACAAAATCCTGTTTCGATTGGTTCATTTAACAAGATGAGTGAGAGATCATGTGCTCAAGTTTCCATCTCCATCAGCATAGTGAAAACGGGGTGGAGCCATGGAGGAGAATTGGAATGAAAAGGGGCCATATAATGACAACACAATGAATGACTTCGAAAAAAAAAAAAAAAAAAAAAAACATTCTTACCCATCAGGAGCCCGTGCTTTAATATAGCTTTTAAGATGATTAATCACTTCAGCAGACTTGACAAACGATATTGCAATAAAATCAACACCCTCTGCAATCCCAAAATCAATGTCCAACCAATCCTGAAGATTTAAAGTGCTTAAGAGTGAGAAATTAAGAAACATCTTCACATATGAGAAAAATGATAGTGCTAAAAAAAACATGATCTAGCACAAAGGCCACCAATATTACATGGAAACATCAACATAATCACACAGAAATGCACATATGAACCAAGAGTATTTGTATATAAATGTAACTGATACCAAGTTGTGAGGCACTTTGATTAGATTCAACAAAGTATGATCCACACAGCAGGTGCCATGTAATCTGAGATGGGATTCGACTCCCTGACTATATTGAACTGGAATCAGACAAAGTATAAGTTTTCCAAGTTTTTTTTTCCCCTATCAACTTCTAAATGCTTTCAAAAATATTTAGTGCTTCAACAATTTTCCAACATAAAAAAAAAAAAAAAAAAAAATCAATCATTTAATAAATAAATAGGTCACTGGACCTGAGCAGGCTCTTTTTTGTTCTCAACTCAATCAACTGGCACCTGATTACTGGCGGCCACCAAACCCAATTAAATGCTTCAACAGGATACTTTACCAAAAGGAAGTTCAACATTAGGTATACTGAATGTAGCTTACAGTTAGTGTTAGGGAGATAGAGAGATAACACATATAATGTCTTACTCTGTAATTTTCTTCTAAAATATTTCTTGCCAATCTATCCAAACAGGATCCCACCCCGCCCCCCCCCCCCCCCCCCCACCCAAAACACGTGCTAGGGCGAGCAGATGCTGAAATATGCAAAGCTCAACAGAGCCATTAACCAAAATTTCGATTGCATCAATCCTTCATTCTAAGAGAGGCCCATCTCCAGAACCATCAATACATGTAGACTATACAGAAATGTGTAAAACTCAGTTTTCTTGTTATAAAATTGCAAATATATTAGGATGGAATCTTTAAATAGACTGGACTTAGAAATTATTACCAAAACGTTAAAATCTTCATGAGTGAAGAATAGTATTTAATTTTGAAAATAAAAAAGAAAAATATATCTAATCATGAAAATTATCATAACAAAGTTGCAGATAATTGTAACGAAGAATGCAGATTGTTTCGACACATCTAATGAGGATAGCATTGCATACCACATGCACTTGAATGTGGTACAATATTGATTACATAGTTAGTAAAAAGTGGATAATTAGTAATATTGTTGTTATTGAAAATGCAAGAAGACCACTAAATGTGCCAGTTAGAAACAGTGACATGGTCCTTTGCGGACCGCTAGGCAAAGCGGAAGACCAAAGTTAACGTAGGTAAAGTAAAGATGGACATGATAACATGTGGTTTGACTAAGGCTATGGTCATAAATAAAGCAAAATGAAAAATACGATTCAAGTAGTCGAACAAAAATAGTTGGAAAATGGCTTATTTGAGTTGAGTTGATTTGATTTGGTATTATGTGAATGAGAATTATCCAGATAAGATCTTAAAATGTTAAGAATTTCCAGGTATAGAGTTACTATATCTCACAAAGGTATTTCTTCCACATACCCAGATAGAGATCATGTCATCGTCATGTTGAATCTAAAATTAATTAAAACCCCTTACGCTATTAGGGTCAAGTTAGAAGCTGAGGAAGGTGAACTAGGACCCGTTAGCAAATACAGAAGGTTGTTCAAAGACTTTATCCGTTTTCATCAGCTTTCAGAATTTTTAGGCATCTAAAAGGTGCTGCAAAAAATGTCTTGCGTCAAAGCATTTTTATAATTGAAGAATTTCTGAATTTATTATACTGAAGGAGCTATCATTCATATAGATTTACTTTGCACTTTATGGGAGTCACACTAGGACTTATCTTTAAATTAAAAAGAAAAAAGAATATGAGCGGTTGCAAAAATTAACTACTTTTTAGATAGACCAAAGACTTATCGAACATTTAAAATTTGTTAGTTAAGGGTGGGTACCTCATTCCCACCTGGTGTGCTCCCCTGGTGCGTTGCGTGCGTGTGAGAATTAAACCAAATTCATGAACCAACTCAAGTGTTGAATACATGCACTATCTCATTGGAAGATGAAACATTTGTGTTAAACTTAGTGTTTTATTTATTGTCTTGTAATTTGTGTCTTTCTATAGTCATGTATTGGTACCTGTAAATACATGTTCTTGAGTTCTTTTTTAAGCAAGAAGTGAGAAAAAAATATATCAGAATTTGAGAGTTTTATAAGTTGCGTGTATTCTCCTTCTTCATATTGAGTGCTAGCTTCCTACAAATTGGTAGAGAGAGAGGTGGCAAACTCTATTAAGATGTTATTAAAATTACGATATTACTATTAAAAGAATAAATAAAAATATCCAAAGGGTTGTATTTTATACATCGGTAAATTAAAAAATTATAAAAAATTTATTTTGAAAAAAATACATTGTAGTAAACATTTGAAAAATCGCTTTTCCAGTTTAAAAAGCAATCAATTGAAAAATGCATAATTCAAAAAAAAATTATAAATATTATATTTAAAACTGAAATTAATAACTGAAAAAATCTAATCCTTTTTTCATAAAGCATGAGGATGTCCCTTACATGATATGTGCCTTGTTTGAATGCCAAATGGGAAATACATTAGTATCCCATTGCTAGGTATCCCATTCATAGTGGCAGGATAAGCGCTCCTGATTCCCAATGCCATCCTAGCCCGTGGCATATTTATACTGAAAAAAACCTTTCTCTTGCTTGGTATTTGTCATAAGTTGAATAGTATCATGTCCAAATAAAGAAGTTAAGACGGAATGGGTCATTTTTCTTAGTATACCTATAGACCAGGCTTTCTCACATTTAGCCAACCAACACATTCCGAGAAAAAAAAAAAAACTTCACTTTGAGCTTATGAAATTAATTTAAATGCACTTACAAAAGGAAGAAAAAGAGGAAGTAGGAACCAACCTTGGAGGAAATTGTAGGGAGCATGGCATTGCGTTCCCTTACCAAACTCCCATCCCGCCAGAAAGTCAGGTTAGCCCGAGGAAGCATAAGTCCAGGATCAGTACATCGACACTTGACATCTGGACCAAACTTCTCAATTACGTCAAACCTTACCATTCCACCATCAACCAGGAGTTCGTCCCCCACTTTGACATCTGTGTCATATTAATGTTCAATGAATATTGAGTGAACCTTTCAGATATACACATATGATGAAGAAGGAAAAAAAAAAACACAAGAACATTTATAGCTTTCAAGCCACCAAAAGAGAGAGAAAAAGAAGTTAGTCATATGAACCAAAAATCTGCAAGATTGTTACCTTCAGCAAAGCCATCATAATTCACATTTATGGTGCGTTCTGGCCGAGGCACATCAAAAGCTCGAACACTGAAAGTCCAGATTTCACCATCCTGCATTAAAATAAAAATAAGGCAACTTGCAAAAAAATAAAAGAAAAGAAGAAAAACCTTGAACCATGACAATTTAAACTGTTTTTTGACAGAAACTCCATGAACCATTCAATGTTTTGCAAATATCCCCTTGCTGTCATATTGCCATTAAGAAATTAACATAAACTGTATCCTTTGGATGCATGTGTTTCTTTATGACCATTATACCCTTATGAAATGAATATTGTGTCTCTTAATTATCCACCAATTAATAGTAATCCATATACCTATTCGATCTATATATCCAATTTTTATGACCGAATTTCAAAGACACTCTAAATGTTCTCAAATTATAGCGATCGCTCTGGTGGTTACAGCCACCTCCACTCCCCCCAGTGGACCACCATTGTTTCCGGCACTCTCTCAAACGACAACCACAGCAACAATATTTGCATTTCTTTTCATACACACACAAATGCATTCATCAAAGTGCATCAGAAGTTGCTTGCTCACCAACCAATGGCTGTGTAAGTAGTTAACTTTGTCCTTTTTTGTGAATTGGGGGAGAATGGAGTTATCTTGGTTTTGATTTCTTAATTCCTAGCATCCGATAAATCAAAGCAATTTGCCAGTTTCTCACTTTAGTCAAAACTCCCCGACCCAAATATTAAATAGGTAAATCAAGCACGTTGTGTGTAGATATATATGTGTGCGTCTCTGTATATATACATGTATTGAGAGAAAGAGGGAGAAACCCTATCCCCAGGTCATCACAGGAATCCACTTCTCCATGGCATTATTTCTTTTTCTTTTTTCTCTTATTTTTTTTCCCGTTAAGAACTCCTCCAGTCCTCCATACCATCATTAATTTTCTGATCAGGGTTATTTCTTTCGATCATTTAATCGAACGGTCATTCTATAACCATTTTAGTCAAGTCACTATAACTGCATCTAACGGCCATGATTTTAAATGATTTTGATATCAATGTAAAATACAGACCATCAATGGATGGGAATTTGTATGAAGTATAAACAGGGCGCTTACTGTTGTGTTACGCCCATCAATCTCCTTTAGGCAGAACAGAGGCCTTGTTGGTACATGACATGCAGTTTGATCATCAGATGGACTCTTTTTCACTTTTAATTCGAATGAAAATGTATTAAATTTTACTTCAATATGAACACACCCGACAATGGCAATATATATGCATATCTATAACTATGTGCGTGTGTGTGTGCGTGCGCTTAGGAATTTCTTTGTTACATGGCCACTTAACAGAAAGCTAGTTTGGTGTGCAAGAATGAAATGGAATGGAATGGGAATAAAACAAGGAATGGAATGAGAATGGAATGGAATGGGAATGATGATTCCCATTCTCCTGTTTGATTGCAAACATGGAATGTACAAAAATGAAATGATGATTTCCATTCACTTGTTTGGTTGGACTAATGTAAAATTAAAATGGAATGAATTTATATTGTTTTCTCCAAATTACCTTCATTAATAAAAAAATTTAACTAAAAAATTAACATCCTAAAGAAATTTTTTCCAATCCAGTTGTAAGAAGGAGGTCTATAAGAATGAAATTGGGGTAAGAGATAGACAGAGAAAGTAGAGAGAAGAAAGAAACTGGGCAAGTAAACGGAGGTGTTGGAGATTGGGGCGAGAAAAGGCAATGGGGAGAAGGAAGCGATCGAACAAAGGGGAGGACGGATCCGATTTGATCGGCGGCGACGAACGGCGGTGATCCAAGCTCCGTTACAAATTTTATCGTTGAAGCTTGCAATTCAGTCAAATGAAGTTGCAGTGTTCGGCGGTGAATCGGCGGGCTGTGGACGGAATAGGCGAGCAATGATGAGACTAACGTCGATCAAGAAGAACGGCGGTGCTGAACTTACCGACGAGGTGGGTCTGAATTGAGTTTTTGAATCGTCGGCAAGATGGCGGTGAATTGATGGACAAGGACGGCAGCCAGAAAGCTCCACAACGGCGAGCAAATTTCTGTTCGACAATGGGTTGGGTTGGGTTGGGTGTTCTTGTATGTTCCACTGTCGAGAAAGGAGATGATGATGGCAGCGGGGAAAGAAGGTTGGATTATGGAGAGGAGTATAAAAAATCTGATATGAAGGGGTGGATTGGAAGAGAACAAAGACGTGAAAGGAAGAGATGATGAACGGTTTTTTGGTCATAGTTTTTTTAATTCTATTCCATGTGGGAATGGAATCCTCATTCCATTGTTAAAGAGAGGGAATGAAATAGTGGGAATGGTCATTCCCAGAGAATGCTTCTTGATTCTCTTTCCAACTTCAATTTAACCTACCAAACATGGGAATGGAATAAAAACCATTCCCATTCCCTCTTAATTGATTCCATTCAGCCGCACCAAACTAGCCCAAAATGATTAACAATTGTTTTTCTCAAATCATCACACCTGATCTAACTGGATGTCACTAAACCAGATTTTTCATATAGCAAGATATATAGTCGGATAATTATAAATTTCTGATACTTGTGAAGTATCATCCAGGCAAAGCAGCTCACAAATTTTACCTTTCTGCTAATCAGCTCAGCTGATGGTCTAACCTATCAACTTGCAGAACAAGAACCTCTACAGCCACCCAATGAAACATGATTAAAAAAGAAAATCTACATTGTGACAAAATTGTTTTCCTAATTAGAAGAAACATAAACACAGATATTGACCGCCATTGTTCATCATAAAACAAGGGAAAAGACATATTCTTCATAAAAGATCAGAGAATATTCCTGAAACACAAACAGATATACTCACTGCAGTTCATCATAAAGCAAGGAAAAGGCATATTCTTCATAAAAGATCAGAGAATATTCCTTTAGAACAGACCAAAATAAATCAAATGACATAACCAAAATAAATCAAATAACATCACACCATAACAGTAACTTCCCATTAAATCATGCCGCAAGAACCAAAAACAACATATAAAAAAATTACAATGTTTCGCCATGTTCTGATTTCAATAGAACACTTGGGAGAAAACAGTGACCTCAAGTAAAGCTTAAAAGCAACAAAAGTAACACTATCAACTTTTACTTATCAAAAAAAAAAAAAGTAACACTGTCAACCAACTAGTTATCAAATCCGCATAAAAATCAATTAATGAAATGGTTCTCCATATCACACCAACTCTCCCACACTCCTGAAAAGGCGAAAAACAAGAGAGGTGAGGAGGGTACACAGACACACACGGATTAAGCAAAAGAACTCAACTTTTCAAAAGCTTGAGCTCAATTTTGCTTAAAAATGACCTCAATTCTACAAACATCCATAGTTATGTCTAGTAGTAGAACAAACATGAATCAGATTAAGTAAACCAATTTATATCTTCAAAAAAGTAGATTAATTTCATTGAATGTCGAGCATCAAGTGAATAATTATGACTAAACAAAGCGAAATTGAATAAAAATACCTCTGCTTTTGCAGATGGAGCCCCACCGAGGTCCCCCATATGAATCTCACTGCCTTCAGTGTCCATCATGATCGCAACAGCATATCCCTTCTCTTCATTCAACCTCCTCACATGCTCGATCACTCTCCGATGCCACTCACGCGTACCATGACACATATTGATCCGCGCAACATTCATTCCACCCACGGCCAACGCCTCCAGCTGCTCGAACCCGCACGTAGCCGGTCCCACCGTGCAAATGAGCTTCGTCCGCCTCGTGCTCCGAAACCCGTTCTCCTTCAGCTCCACCTCCGTCACCGCATCCACCTCGATGGAACTCGAGTCCGTCGCCGTCAATGCATAATCCCGCGATGCACCGGGTAGCACCCCTCCGCCCTTGCCGTTATCGGAGACCAGCACCGGAGACGACGAAGACGAAGACACAGACGAATCGAGATCTGAAGCTGAGGCTGCGATTGGTTTCCGTAACGGAAACCGTAAATTAACGATAGGTACCGAGGGTTTTATATAGGAGTGCTTCGAAATGGTGAAGTGTTGTGACCGGGACGTAGAAATGAAGAAATTGAGCGATTGCGACATTGTTGCCGGAGATTTGTGAGGAATTGGGGCTTCCGGTGTGTATAGTCACTGTTCAACTTGAAGCTTCCGTCGGGAATTGGCCTGAAAAACGGAGGATTTGTTAGAATCAGACGAGTGTGCGAGTTTTTTGTTACATACACATATACATGTATGTATGTGTCTATATAGAGAGAAAGGGACGGCTAGTATTTCCGAATATGGAGGGATTAACAAGAGAGACAGCAGTGTATAGATACAGATTTTAGAGAGATAAAGTGATGAGAGAGAGAGGTGGGGGGCGGAGGCAACGAGGTGAAAAGAAAGGAGTTGGAGCTTCGAAGTTGTCGCGTGAGGAGGGGAGGTGACGATGCACAAAGTTAGCCAAATATGGGGCTAGGTCGAGAGGTGATCAGAGGTGGTGGAACTTATTAAGCTTGAGTGCGTGTTGTAAAACAATTGGGTGAATTCTAGGAAATGAGAAGAGAGAGAAAAATTATATTAATTTGAACCATTGAAGTTTTGACTTGTTGGTGAGTACAGTGAGCTTGATCTCATTCTATAACAGCCTGGTGCTTAAGTGGGAAAATAGTGTGTTTCTCGTTTTGATTAGGACATGTGGACTTGTTACATAATTACAAACTATTTAACATTTCATTTTTTCTTCTAATAAAATGATTAAAAACTTTTATTTTATTTTATTTTTAAAAAATAAAAAGATATGCAAATATTTTTCATAATGAATAAAACTGAACCGTTTAATAAATGTATTATACAATTAAACTCAAAAGTACCTTAAGCATGTGTAGTTTTCATTTTTGCCAACTATGATACTATTATACAAAGCAAAAAACAGCATAATTAAAATTGGATGAATATATCAAAATTAAATGGTTACACACTTTTTGGAAAATAAAAAAATAAAATAAAATTCTCAATTTCAAAAATTCATATGATCCCAGTAAGGCAGTAGTCTAGTTGCGTTTCCACACTTTCAACGCAGGAAGTTGAAGTTTTTTTACCCAGCAAGAAACTCACTTTGGTGGGATTGTTTGTCTGCTTTGTATTTTTTTACTTGGAAAATAAAAATACAAAATATATTTGGTAATGTTTGTTATAATTAAAATAATATTAAAATGCTTTCAAAAAATAGGCCAAAATCAGAAGTACCAATTTTGGTGTTTTCGGTTGTTTCCACATCGTAACAAAAGCGTTGTTTATTGAAAATATTGGCGTTTTCGGTTGTTTCCACATCGTAACAAAAGCGCTATTTATTGAAAATATATATATTTAACTAGTTATTTAATTTTTCAAACTCCCAACATTTTTTTACCATACATGTTTTCATGTTTTACTTTCAAAAATCTTACAACAAATATACATTACCAAATATTGCTTTGGAATAATATTAAACACATTTCAAAGTAGAAATATTGATTCTACTTTAAATTAAAACAAAAGCACAAAGTAACTATGGCCACCAAACAGCCCTCTTCAAGGTCAATAAGATCTGATTTTCCTCTTGTTTTAATTTCTCACTATGAAGAAGTCAGGGCGCGAATCCTCTAAAGTGAATTCTCATGTGGTCCCATGCAATGAGCTCTTAAGTGGTCTATATTTGGTCACATGCTTATTCATTTAATAGCTCTTGAGACCAAGTTTGACAATTACATCATCATTTATAAGTAACATTTCACTATCATTTATGAGTAACATCATAGGTGTCTAAAAAGACCATTTTTAAGAGGGTAATATCACCACTTAAAAAGTAAAGGTTGTTGATAGCCAAATACATCATAATCCCCTTTAAAATCCTCTTTAAATTAACATATGACTATTTTTTTTGGATGTTCTACTTTTTATGATAAATTTAACTTAAAAAATATATAAATAACATATTGAATTGAGTTAGATTGATGTATGACTATTAGTTTTTCAGCACTATGTGAATACCTTTTTTTGATAGTATAGGTGGTGAGTGTGGCAATTAATATTAAACTTTACCAAACTTTTTTCAAAGATATGTTAAATAATTTATACCTATGCATTTTTAATATTTGGAAGAAAAAAAAAAGATGCAACTCTTTGTATTATTTTTGGAAATATCGAAGTGTTTTGTTTGTTATCTAAAGTTAATCCAGGTGACTTTAATTTTGATTTAATCTTTAAGTTAACATATTAAAGTGTTTTTAAAATACTTTAATTTCAAATAATAATATGTTGAATTGAGTTATGTTTATATGTGACATTACTTAGACTGTATTATGTGCATATCTTATTTTGAGGGTGAAGATAGTTTTCACTTTATGAAATATATGGCTGTCAATAACTTTTACTTTTTAAGTGGTGGTATTATCCTCTTACAAATGATGTTGTTTTTTAGACTCATAAGATATTACTTGTAAATAAGGTGAAGATGGTTTTTGTTTTATGAAGTATTTGACTGTCAATAGCTTTTACTTTTTAAGTGGTGATATTACCCCTTTACAAATGATGTTACTTTTCAGATTTTTATAAATGGTAGTGAAATGTTACGTGTAAATGGTAGTATAATTGTCAACATTATCTTTTAAATGAAGAAGGATGTGCCCAAATATAAACCTAAAACTCACTTCAGAGGATTTGTGCCTACTGATGACAGTCTTAGCCTCCAACTTTTTTTTCCCGAAAATTTCTTAGCATCCATCTTGCCAGCACAACGCTTGGACAAAGTTTGACGGTAGTACCTACAATTATCGTGATCAATTCCATATTTGTTTGCACACTGCATTCACAAAATAATAATAATAATAATAATAATAATAATAATTGTCAAATCACACAAAAGTATAGAACAACTATCTTTGATTCCATATCTAAGAAAATATCATCTTATGATAAGAAGTCCATACCAAATTGAATGTGGCATGGTTATTGGGTGTTTAATTATATTTGAGGAATATAATAGAATATTTAACAAGAGACATTGTTTGTAATAAAAAAAATAATAATGCAAAAGATGATGAATAAAATATCTTATCTTATAGAAAAAGTTTTTTGGGGGAATATATGGAACAAATATTAATTTCTCAATTACATAAAAACAAAAAGTTGTACAGTTGCATTCCAAATCCAACTCTCACTTTCACTCTGACTTTCACCTTTTCAACAATTGTTAAACTAATTTTTTTTTTTTTTTTTTTAATTTCTATATCTTCTATAGCCTTGAAATAAATTGTTGAACCTAATTTGGTTTTGACTTAATCAAAAAAAAAAAATTTAAATAGTTCTGGAAAGAGAAATTAACACCATCCATAAGCCATTTCAGCCACTATATTTTTCAATATACCATAAAATATCACATTCTGATATTGTTATGCTCGGTTTGGTGCAAGGGAGAGAAGTGAAGATACGAAAAACGGAAAACACATCCAATAGAGAGGCAAAACTAATTTGTTTCTTATATTTATTATTGTACATTCACATAACGAAGAGCAAATGAGATTATTCTTAGAGAATCAAAAGGAAAAAGACCATTATTTCAGCAAAATTTCTTAGTGGAAGAATGATGTAAAAAACTAGCAAAAAAATAAATACACTAAAATTAGCAAAAAACTAAAAATAAAGAAACCCTTGAGAAACACTAGTGTGCAAAGAAGGAAGTCAAAAAAGTTGCGAAGGTATGAAGGATGTGTAGAAAAATGTATATAATAAACTTGCTAAGTTAAGGGAGAATAAAACTATATAATTCATTAATATTAGTGATACATTTGTTTCCATGTAAAATGTTCTTGTAGAAACATTTTGCTAATTTTCAATGTTCAGTTGCAATAAGAATATTTGAAAAATAATTTACAAAGTAAAATATTCAAAAGTGAAGACATTTTTAGCTTCCTAAGTGAAATTTGCAAATTTAAAATCTACTGATTAGTCTCCTTGTAATTGAGAAGATATGTTAAAATCTATATTGAACGGTTTATGTCACAGTGGAGAATTTTATAAAAATCATAAGTGAAGACCAAAACATGCCATGATTTCAATACAAAAGGAACTAAAAGTATCTGTGTGTCTCACACATAACTATATTGAATGTTGTAGTTATGTCAGAGCAGAATTACGGAAAAATAATAGGTGAAGACCAAAACATGCCATGATTTCAATATAAAAGTGCTAATTCCAAACTCAAAAACTAATAAAGAAAACATCAAACTGGAAGGCTCCTTAGCAAATATGTGCAAATTTTTCATATTTGCAGCCTCAATGTTTTCAACACAAGAAATAAATAAAGCAACAACAAAACAATTTTGTATGTTTTTAGAATTGAATAATGGTCATGCTTCACATAAAAGATTTTAGGGACTGAGTCACAATCACATACACTTCCAACAACAATAGAAAATCTAGAGAAAAAGGGGGGTCATTAGCAGAAATCAACCATAAAGATGGAACTGAAATTGTATAAGAATATGAATATACCTATGTATGTATATATAAAAGGACTAGTAAAGAATCAACCAGCTATGCAAGTATAATGATTTATGTAAATTAAGAACAGATAACACTAATACATATATAATATTCATATATTACTCAAACTTGGTCTATATATCAGTACTAGTAAAATGGTAACTAATTCAGTACTAGGTTAGAATGAGCATTGCAAGAACAAAAAACAATAGGACACAATGGGGGAGAAACGAACCCTATATCATAGCATAATAACAATGGAATCATATAGATAAAAACTATCAGAACTGAAGCATCTTCCTTACCGTCGCAGAGTTGAGACAGTTTTTCCGACGACGTATATCATCAGACCCGTACTTGCTTGCGCACTGCATTCACACCAAATAAAAACAAGCAACTGTCGTGAACCATTATAGCCCCCACAAATACTTTCATAATCTGGCCTTTATGTTTAATGAATATAAAATGAAACCTTGCCCTAAATACCACCAAAGATTAGGGCTGCAATTGAACCGAGTTGTTCGCTGTTCACGAATAGCTCGGACTCGGCTCGTTAAAAGCTCCGCTCGGGCTCGTTCGTTTAGTAAACGAGCCGAGCTCGAGCTAATTTTTCAGGCTCGTTTAATAAACGAGCCGAGCTCGAGCAATGATGAACTCGGCTCGCCAAGCTCGTTTAGTTAATAAGGCTTACATTTCAAATTTTGCTACTAAAATTTAGCCCAAACACTTAAAAGTTTTTTGAGGTCCATGTAGTAGTTTAGTTTTATAAAATTAAACTATATCCAATTTTGAAGCCCACGAGCTAATAAGCCCAATATCCTATACAATTTATCACAGCCATTGGATTATACATGTTATAGCCAATTAACCACAACAAAAGAAAAGAAACCCTAAGGCTCAGTTTGGTAGGGTGGGTTTGAAGGAAAAGGGAAGGTAAGGTGATGGAGGGTTATAAAAAAATTGTGTTTGGGTAAAGTGAGTGGAGGGAAAGGGAAGGGGAGAGAAAGGTTTGGAGGGTTAACTTGTGCCTTGAACAGTGAATTTCTTAACCTCCCAAAATTAGGAGGAAATGAAGAGAAAGGGAAGGAGAGACTCGGTGTGTGATTTCAGATGCCAATTTTGCCCTTGATGGAAACTTATGTTGCAGTTGCAGAGAGAGGGGTGGCGATGGAAACTGATATGGGTTTTGATTTTTTAAACAATCTGATATGGGTTTTGATCGATATGAGTTTTGACTTTTCGAAAAATCTGAAATTGGGTTTTGATTTTTTGAACAATTTGGATATGGGTTTTGAAGTTTTGATTCTTGCAAACAAATATATAAACTAAAATATATGAGTTTTGACCTTCTGATTCTTGTAGTAGTTTGTAGTTGTAGAGAGAGAGAGAGAAAGAGAGAGAAGCTCGGCGTTGAGAACGAGAACAGAGAGATCTTGTAGTAGTTTGTAGTTGCAGAGAGAGAGAAGATCGGCGTTGAAGAGAGAGAGAGAAGATCGGCGTGGTGAACGAGAACAGAGAGATAGGGTAGAGAACGAATATATATATATATATATATATATATATATATATATATAAATTTATATTTTAACCATATGATAAGGAGACAACTATATATATATATATATAAACCATATGATAAGGAGACAAATATATATATATATATATATATATATATATATATATATAAATTTATATTTTAAAATATAAAAGGGCATAATAGTAAATTTATTAAAATAATGCTCCTTCCTATCTTTTCTTTTCTTTCCCCAAACATGATTATTCTCCTTCCCTTTTTTTTTCTTCCTTAATCAACCAAACACAATACCAAATTAAAATTATCCTTCCCTTTTCTTTCCTTCATAACTAATTTTATCGTTCCTCTTCAAACCCACCCTTCCAAACATGGCCTAAGTTTCTAACTCTTGTTGAGACGACAACCATAGGAGACTTCTCCATCCGTCCATCTCAGATTCATGTTGGCAGCTACTCTACTAGCGACCGATGCGAAAATCTTACTCCGACAACAACTATTACAAGGTTATTACTATCTCCCTCTCTCAACCATTTTTATTAATCTCAATCCGTCTATCTCAGATTCATGTTCTTTATCTTGGCAACCATCTTTTTTCTTCTTCTTTTCATGGAATTATAAGAGGATGAAAAATACTTTGGGGCGAGAGTGCTTAGGAAGAATTAGATAAGAAAAAAGGGTTTAACCTAATGATTGAGAAACTGCTTCCATCATCTGTAATGCGGTCGAAGAGCTGAGGGATTTGCGGATATGTAGAAGATTAAGAGGCTAATTTCTGCAATGGAAGTTAAGCCGAATCGAGCCCGAGCCTGAGCTTTGTCCAAATATTAGCGAGCCGAGCCCGAGCTTGGCTAAGTTGAGCTCGCCCGAGCCCGAGTAGCCTTCTGAACCTGGCGAGCCGAGCCCGAGCAGGCCAAAGTTCGGCTCGGTTCGGCTCGGCTCATTTGCAGCTCTACCAAAGATAGTAAACAAACAAAAGTGAATATGAAGGCTCATTTTCTTTCAAAGATTTAATCTTTATAGATTAAAACGGTCTAGTGAATTAAAAGGGACCTAGATTGAAGAATTTTTATTCAAAAATTCTATTTTACTCATTAAAACACTCTTTGTGACTTCAAAAGAATTCGAATAAGTTTAACTTAAAAGTGACCTTTGTTACAGCTCGGATGGATCTTGTCAATCTTGGTTAAAGGCTTTAGGATAGGTTCTGAGGGATTGGCTTGGGGTTTGATGCCCAATCACATCCAAGATTTCTGGTGGTTTGTCATTCATTCAATGACAAACGCCGTAGAGGTCGCCCATCCAATTCTGGTCGAAAACAAACACATCTTTCATTGCTATTGCCTCGTATGTAATTGGCTTAATTATCAATAATTTTATATATTATATCATTATTTTGCAATCCTTCTCAACGAGTGTCGCTTTTACGCTCCGCGCGCGTTTTAGCTCAAATTTTTACTATTTAAAATTTAATTTTTCTGCTCTCACGTTCTCGCTCTCGCTTTGTGTGACTTAGTTTTGCGCTCCCTGCGCGCACGCACGCACACATATATAGCTAGAACCAATCTATTACATCATTAGGAAAACTGACACCCCATATTTTACTCAATGATTTCAGCAACCCAATTATGGATTACCAAAAACATTTGAACTTACCAGTGCAATCATCTTGGAATGGTAGGCTTTAACCCGTAGAGATAACAAAATTTACAGTGACCTTATTCATATCTTTGAAGTATTGACTTCTTTTTTTCTTGTGTAACTAAAAGGCGTTTGAACAATAGGTACAAAAATAATTTCTCAATTACATTAAAAAGCAGAATAACAGTCTAATATAATTGCGAATTATATGTAAGAAGATAACAGATGGTTCTATTTGAAATTGTAGTGGTTGTATTTGAATTTACATTTTCATTTTATAACATAGTTAAAAGTTGTATATTTTTTGTTTTTCTTAAGGCCTTATTTCAAAAACTAGTTTATCTATCAACAATTATGACTTCACTGACAAACTTGACATATAGATTCAAATGAAGAGCAAATATACCTGTTGGAAGAGCATGGAAAGAACAGGAGGGCACCGACTTGAGGTCACTATACTGTCAGGATTGGGTTTACAACCCTTGCAGTTGTAGTTTTTTGAGAAAATATTTTATTGTTTTGAGTGAATTGAAAATAAAAAAATTGTACAAAAGTTAGGTTCAGTTTTTTTAAAATTTAGTTATAAAATGGTCCGTATTTAGAGAACTACCTTTCATGATTCTATCGAGTACAATTTTTTTTAATTTTTTGAGATCTCGAAAAGTGTTTTTAAAGTGACAAATCCCTATACATATTTCAGATTTGATATAAAGAAAAAGAACACAAATTTCAATATCCAATGTCAAAAAGACAATCTGGATATATGGTGCAACCTTAACAAAACCGAACCGAAAAGGTGGAATTGCTCATGTATAGAGACATACATATAAAAGCATTATATATATACATGTCCGGAAAAAAAATGTTTAAAAATATTGGCAAAAATGAGAGTGAATTTCTTGCATACCGGAATTCTTATCTCTGCTGCCCATAATTTCGCTTGAGATCGTGGCAATTGATAAAGGAAGTGGCGCGAGAGAGAATAGAATTGGATTTCAAAAAGGATTTTAGCTGTTTAGAATAATTGAAATTTTAAATGGAATGGGATTTTATGGAATTTCAATGGAAATTTCATTGTTAAAAAATTAAAATAGACATAATTGGAGGGAATTCGCAGAATAAAATTTTATAACTTACCTAAAATAGCCTTCTCTTTTCACTTCTCCCATCTTTATCTTATTTACTGGAAAAAAAAAAAAAACTACCACACTATCCTATCGTCTTAAAACACTCTCATCTGAAACTTCCGTATTATTTTTGTTGAAACTTCCGTATTATTTTTATTACCTTTAAAACTCTCTCATCCGTTATTATAGTATTCTTAAAACTCTCTAATTCTTTTGAAACTCTCTCGTCGACTAGTGTACTATTCCTATATATATACACACACACACATATACATATATATATTTCATATGTTTGATCTAAAATTGATAAATTTACTTTGTGGTACATACATACATACATACATATATATATAGAGTAGAATGGTACAAAATTATATTTCCTTTCTAAAATGGTACAACATATTCACACATATCTTACCTATTATTTTGAGAATATGAATTATGTAGTATTTCAATCGAATACTCTTTATTTTATTTTAATTTTTTATTGATAAAAAACATATTCACACATATTTTACATCTTTCAATCGAACACTCCTTATTTTATTTTTATTTTTTATTAATAAAAAACATATTTACACATATCTTTTTATTTTTATTTTTTATCCACCCGTTCCCAAACCCCTCCCACGGTCCCACCATCTTTTAAGGAAAAAGATGCTATTTAATTGGGTTTGATACCCTTGATCACTATTTTATTTAGATGATATAAAATATTTAATTACTATTGGTCGGGAGTAATTTAGATAATTTAATTAAATTTCAACTTACTCCAAATGCACAAATGAGAGAGAGAGAGAGAGAGAGAGAAAAGTGTTTAGAGAGCATATTGGAATAGAATTGGGTTGGATTGGGTCGAGCTGGACCAGCCCAAGCTGCACCCAATTTATACCTCTTGAAAGGCACTGACTCGAACCGCACGCCGTCGTGCGTGCCACGATGGCATTGACGGATGCTAATAGCTTTTCTTCGTCATCTTCCTTAATCTCCTTGTAAGAAGAATAACCATAAAAAGGGTACCATCTCTCTCTCTTCGATTGCAGCAAAATCATTGCTCTGAATTTAGGGTTTCAAACCAAATTGCTTTTTCCTGAACCACAGCGAACCAATTACACCCAGCTTTCAGCTCTCACAGACACATCATCAATTCGATTCCACACCATCGAAACCGTCGACGATCTCTCTAAGGTTCGAATTTTTCTCACTCCACTCAAACGATTTCACAAGTTGATAAAACTATTGCCATTTAACTTTGATTTTCGTCATTGATTTTGAATTAGATCTGAATGAATCAAATTCCACCGATCTACACGTATACATACATACATATATGTGTTTGTGTGCGCGTTTGTAATTTATGTGTTGGTGGAAGTTGAAGAAGTTGATCCAATTTTTTGTGATGTAGGTGAAAAGATGGGGGCACTAGTATCGAGATTCTGGTTCATGTTGTTTCCTGCAAAGGAGTATAAGATCGTTGTTGTTGGATTGGATAACGCTGGTAAGACGACGACGCTTTACAAATTGCACTTAGGAGAGGTTGTCACTACGCATCCTACAGTGGGTAGCAACGTGGAGGAGCTTGTGTATAAGAACATTCGGTTTGAGGTGCGAAAAAAAGAATCTTGAATGCTTTTGAATTACATCTCTGTTGATGAACTCTTTGATTTTATATATACGGATTTGCATAATGTTCTTGCAAGCTAGATGATTGATTGAGTGCTTGTGTTTTGGAATTTTGTTTTTTGTTTTTTGTTTTTTTTTTTTTTTTGTTATTTGATGTTTGCCCTATCATTTATGGTCTAATTCAGTGGAGTAATAGGCTATCTTATGAAGAAGACGTGGAATGTGAATTCCTGATCATTTTCTGATTTACCTAACCTGGTTTAACATCCCATGAGATGTTTCATTGCTCCCCTGTATTGGAATATGTGTATTAGCGGAGAAGTATATAAAGGGCTTGGTTTACTGTTTAAAGAAAAATCAAACGAAGAATATATGTTCGTGGGTTTTTAGTTTTACTTAGGTTGCTTTGACATTATTGCTATTTGGGCTAGGATTGGGGTGCTATAACCTGTCAGTGACCATTGATTCACTTTGCTGTGTAATGGATCTAAACTTGTTCAACAATATCCAAAAGACCAGGAAAATTTCTAAAGAATGAAGAAAATACTCTACTATTTATGTAAATGAACATAATTAATATTTAAATCTGGACCGACTGTCCTGGTACTGAACTTATAATTTCTACTATGAAATATATGGACATATGCAGTTGATGGTAAGTTTATGATATTTTTTGGCTGAAGAAAGCATGAGAGGAACCCCCCAAAATATGTGATGAGTTCAAAAATTGAATTGTCAAACTGATATAATAGACGTGATCAAGGAAATAAAATGAGCGGTAATTAGCTAGCACTATTATTGGATAGACAAGCGTTTTTCACTTTATTGGCTTGTACACTTTTTGGTCCATGCAGTGAAGCTAGGACGAACAGGTAAGGCTCGAGAGACCTTGCTGCCTCTACTTTTTCTGAAGTAGCCATTTAGCTCACCATTGATACTGACCGAAAATGAGGGAGTAGAAATGTAGGTAATTATATGATCATTTTGAACATATTGAAGGCTGCCAATGGGGTGTGTTACTTGCAAACATTATGCTACAAGTTTAAGAAACTAGAGCAAGGGGCAATTTTTAATTAGAAATTTGTAGTTTGTAGTTTGTACAGATACGTTGGAATCTATAGGATAGAGGGTATGCAGGTCTAGGTCCTAGTTGGCGAATTGGAAATTAAATATTTTAGTAAAATTGCAAACATTATCCTATGAGTTTGCTTATTGAGAATATATTTCATTAAGTGAGAACTCTTGGACTTTTAGCAGATAATTATACCATAAGTGGAAAATAATTATGTGTTGTTTCTTGTTTGTCAATTCTCTTTGACTTTCTGAAAGTGTTGCGAGATGTATAATATAGGACTGTAATCCCTGTGGAAGACGAAATGTCATTCTCGACTTGCTGTGCCAAGGAGGTTTGTTTAGTTAGTAAAAGATAGAAATTGGGCCTGAGAGAGATGCATTTGACATATCCGTTGCATGCTGGATGTTTCAGGCTTTTTGACACTTGAAAGATTGCCTGAACCTGAAGAAAATTCTATAGGAGGTAAACTGTAGTACTATGGCCACTGAAAAAAAAAATGAACTGGAGAATTTTGAGTAATCAAATGCAGGAGAAGCTCATGAGTACTCCATGGATCTGGTGTTCATATATGCCTTACTTTAGGACCATTCCATGCTGAATTTCATGAATTCTGCTCCGTCGTGTTTGTTAATTTCCATTCATACATGCATATATATATATTTTTTAAGATTGATATATCTTTATATCTAAGGAGAAGGTGTTGTATGTTGAATTATTTAACTTGGTTTCGTGTGTTGGTTGTGATTTAGATAGTGCTGCATTTCTTCTTTTTACCATGAATATCTTGCTTGTTGAGATTTATGTGAGAGAGTGAATTGAAGTGCTCTACAATTTTTTCCTAGAGAGCAGCAACCAAACAATTAAATAGTGTCAGAATATGCTTCAGCTATATTAACCTGAATGATGGCTGGTAAGGATTACAAAATCATGGAGAGATAGATAGTGATATAAACAGTAGAATTGGAGCGGATTGGACAAAGTGGAGTCAAGCTAGTGGGATATTATGGGATAAAAAAAATAACACATAGGCTAAAAGGAAAATTTTATAGGGCCGTTATTAGACCAACTATGTTGTATAGGGTGGAGTGTTGGCCCTACAAAAGAGACAAGAACATTGCCTTAATGTAGCGGAAACGAGAATGTTAAGATGGATGATTGGAATGAATAGGAGAGATAAGGTCACTAAGAAGGGTGTGAGGGAAAAATTAGGTTTAGCTCCCATTAGTGAGAAAATAAGAGAGAGAGTTGACTTAGATGGTTTGGACATGAATTTCGGAGACCTAGAGGTGCGCTAGTTAAGCGGGGAAGATTAGTTGTAATGGAAGGTAAGAGACGGAGAGACCGACCAAAAATAATATGGGAAGAAGTTATTAAAAATGATTTTAAAAGATAAACATGGTAGAAGATGTAATAGGAAAAAGTGGAGAGAAATAATTCATGTGGCCGACCCCTTTCATATGGGATTAAGGCAAAGATAATGATGATGGCTAGCCAACAGCATGGTTTAGTAGTTCAGTTGTGCCTGACCTCAACTTGTAGTTTGGAACCGATGATTGTATTTTTATTTTTTGATAAGCAATTTTCTTACCAAACAAATAAAAAGGGGGCAAATCCATGATGGTATTTTAATATGCTGAAAAAGGTGCATTTTAGTGTACTATGGATATGCCCATGCCATGGTTGGAAGTGCATTTTGGTGTATTGGTGATTTAAATTTTTTTGCCAGTGGGGTCAACGACAAAGCTAGAAAGGTCCCAATTCTGTGTTGCTATTGCCAATGCTGGTGCTAGGAGGGGTCTTTGGCATTAAGGCCTTGAGAATGAAACGAGTCAAAGGAAATTTTCCTATCCAGTCCAACCTGAATTATTGAGTTTGTATGTTTTGGAATTTTTAAGAAATCTAAATGCTTGTTATAAATCCTTATTTAGTCAGTACTTGCTCCGTTTTTTTTTTAAGCTGTGGTTGGGCTTGTTTTCTAGTGACCCAGTGGCTGATCTGTGAGCCTGTGTTTTGGTAGGCCTTCTAAAATTTTTAGAAATGGGCTTTCAGACTTGTTCATGCTTAACTTGGTTGGTCGACAGAGATTAGAAATTGCAACTAAAAGTTTGATCTTGATAACAAGTCTCCTGGGAATGATGAGAGCTGATTAATTTTGGTTTAATTGGAGAGTTGGGTAATATGAGTTTTCTGTTTGACATACATCGAAATTGAACATGGGAACTTGCTTGCATCTTGACATGTGGAATCGTTGTACACTCTTGTGCATTTGTGCATGTCCTTTATGGAATATAAGAATATATCGGTCTGCTTTTGCATTTTTGTGTATAAGAATTATAAAGATGCCTTGACGAAAAAAAGCTGGATTCATACACAAATATTTATTACTTTTAAAGTTTAATTATTCTTCTTCTTTTTTGGTAAGTTTTGAAGGACTATTTTGGTAGTGATTATATAAGCAAGTTCCATAATCTAAATTAGCCGGAAATTTTCCCACTTGTAACTGGAACGATGATTAGATTCTCAATTTGTAGGTGCTACATGCATCTTGTAAATGCAAGGAACTAGATGATTAGTGAAGCTTGAAATGATTCAGAGATACCTTGACATAACAATGAGCCATCTTGTGTGTGTTTCTTGTTCTTTTGAATGTTTCTATCGATATGACTGATGACATCATTACGGTAACCCTTACCAAAAAAAAGACATCATGACGGTAACATTATGTCCTTTTACAATTGTTGTATTTCCATCGCACATTCTTCAAAGTAACATTTTACACTGCAGCTCTGATTTGTTAATTCCAGCCTGCCTCAGACTTTCTGCTGGAGTTTTAATCTTGGAATAATTTGAGTTGGTCTATACCGTCTGCCTGTTATATTTTCTCTCAATTGTTAATTCCACATCCCCAACAGCATTCTAGTTCCTTATTCCTTCCAAATTTTCTTTTGCCCATATAATATTTATAGATGATATCTGATTTTGGAAGGTATCACTTTGTTTGGGATTGTGAACTCCTTGCTCTCTTTGAAGCATCATCTTTAGAGAGAGTGCATCCAGAGCTTTCTTATTCCTTTTCTTCTTCCTGGGTTATCAGTCACTAACTAGTTTGCTGATAATGTATTTATCAGGTTTGGGATCTTGGTGGGCAAGAAAGACTGAGGACATCGTGGGCGACATATTATCGCGGAACTCATGCTGTCATTGTAGTGATAGACAGCACTGATAGAGCCAGGATCTCCAATATGAAAGACGAGCTTTTCAGGCTGCTCTCACACGATGATCTTCAAAGCTCAGTTATACTCGTCTTTGCAAACAAGCAGGACCTCAAGGATGCCATGACCCCCGCAGAGATAACTGATGCCCTTTCGCTTCACAGCATAAAGAATCATGATTGGCACATCCAAGCCTGCTGTGCCCTCACCGGAGATGGCCTGTATGATGGTTTGGGGTGGATTGCTCAGCGGGTTACTGGGAAAGCGCCAAGCTAGAACTGGGGAAAAAGTGAAGTGTTATTAATACTTTGTTTATGGGATTGAGGGATTCTACTTTGTGTGCCATCTAACATACCGAGTGATGCGGATGAGCATACTTGATTCTGTTGTTCCCGTTTTGATTCTGCTTGAACATAAGGTGTTATCTTAATGTTTCACAACATTTGCTGATAATGGATGTATTGTTTACAAATATGTGCTTGTTTTGTTTTTAACTGAGATGTAGCCGGATATGTGTGTGTGGTGGTGGGTATTTTTATTTATTTATTTATTTTCAAGGTCAACTGGTATATATAGCCCTTGCATATGGTGCAATGTAGGCTGCTTAAACGGATTGAGGGAAAGGTTCTACTTGAGTTAAAGATACTTCAGTCCAAATTAACCCTACATGACCTCTAGGAGGGTGAAAAATTCAAAATCATCTACTCGAGTGAAAGAAAACTTCAGTCAATTAATCCACGCCAACCTCTTAGAGGATAAAAAATTCAAAATTAGGTTGAGCTAAAGTTAGTCGGGTTGAATTGAGGCCTGATTATGCAAAATATTATTATTATTATTTTTTCACCTGCAAGAAACATCCACTTTGCCCCTGTGAGGAATTGGACCATCAACCTTCTATTTTGAAAGGTGAAGAAATATCACTAGGTTACACAGCCCTTAGTCAATTTTCATTAGACAAAGATTGTAGTAAAAAGATATATATATATATATATATATATATATATATATATATATATATATATAAATTTATTTAGTTTCAGTGCTATGAAATCTATTGTGTGTAGGTAAGACTGCAAGAGAAACCAAATGTGCCAAATAGAATTACATATGTTTGTCACACAATGTCATCTCATCCATTTTAGTCCCAGCGTTCCCTTTCTTATAATACAACCACAAATTGATTTTTCAAAAATTATCTCCGGACAATATCGCATTTCATTCAACATTTTGCTAATAGCAAAACCAACCCAAGTTCTGTAACAGGTCTATAATTTTTCATTTGCCAGAGAGAAGTAAAAAAATTGTCAATTTCTGCACAATGGAGAATTCCATTTAACATTTTCCAAGAAGATTGTATTGCTAATTGCTCTATATACGTGACACATTGTTAGCTACCAATTCTCAAAGCCTCTGCAAACGGTGAAAATCTTGTAATTAACAGAATCATCATAGTATCCAGCATCTGCAACCCGACGAATCTTGTGGTCCTTCAAACCATCGATCCCAAGATGGATTTGTGGGGCCATTTGTTCTGCCAAATAAGAAAAATCGAACCACTTTAGAATAAGGCTGATAGCAAGAGGAAAGCATAGCAGAAACAAGCAAGAGGTATATTACTTTGGCAGTAGCGGATCTGGTTTTGTTTCCACATTAATCAGCAATCTAGTAACCACAAAATAAAGTTAGATCAAAGGGTTGATAACAGTCCTAACATGCATTGACAGATAAGTGATTGGAAATCTAATTATTTTCTCATACTTACTCCTTGCATGCAGCCGAGGCCTTCTCCATTTTTTCAAGCTGTTCCAGCTCTTCCTGTATATAAGATAGTACCAGAAGGAGTTGAAATTCTGAATGTATCAAAGTAAAAATTTCAACTGTATGACAGTGAGACAAGTACATTTAGTAAATATCATGGAAGATTAATCCTTATATGAGAAAAAGAAAGATCTTTTCTAATGTAGTGGCTAGGTGCAGACACAATTTTAGAACTGTACTGAATGTTACTTAAAAATATATATAGTACCAGTTCTCTTACAACTGAACTGAATGTTATTTTAAAATAAACAGCACCAGTTCTTTTATGCAAAAATTAAGCTCCATCTGGTTCATGAATTTTGTGACAGAAAACAAGTGAAAATATAAAGTAAAATCCTTTCCCTTGTTTGATAATAGGAAGGGAAAGAAAATATGTGGTTAAAGGATGGATATCTAACTTAACATGCCATTCCCTCCACCCCCCCAAAAACAACACACACACATGCATCCCATTCTCATCATTTTTGAGATTTTTTTCCTTTATAATTTATTTTTCTGGTAACTATTTTTACCATTTGATCTCAGTTAAGCAAATGTAAAATATGCAACATATATCTATTTCATTTTCCCTTTTTCTTTCATTTTTTCTCTTCTCCTTACTAATCTGCAAACCAAAAGGAGAAGATACAACCAGTAGAAAGGTATGTTTGTTGTGAAGGAGGATGTGGGGGGGGGGGGGGGGGGGGGAGGGGGGGTGATTGGGTTTGTTGGGGTGGGGGGGTTTTCTTTAACTCACTTAGCCAACGGTTGACTCCAAATGGTAGAGAGAAAGATGAGGCGGGTTATGGCCCAGGGATACATTCTTAACATACAAAAGAAATGTTTGATTAACTAAATAAAAAAACATGCTAATGATGGTAAGTTGGTGCATTGAGTACATTAAACATGTAGAAAGTAGAAGGGGGGGGGGGGGGGGGGGGGGGCGCAAGGCCCATTAAAAAAAAAACTATTTATAGGAATATATGTATATAAATTTACATATAAGGATTTGTACATTGTCTTGCTTGGTTAGGCCTCAAACCATCTCCCCCCCTTCCCCCCCCCCCCCCCCAACCAAAAACAAACACAACCAAAATCCAATTCCTGGCTCCGCCTCTGCTCTTGATCAAACTACTTAAGCCTAAAGGTACCACTTAGCTTAACTTGTGCTTTGGTTCAACTCTTTGTCTTGAACACCTACTGCACTCTCCCCAACATAAAATCACAAAGACACAGAGCTAGAGTCTAACAAGCCCCTCCAATGAACAACTACACTACTTCCATAAAAAAATAAGAATCTGAATCCATGCAGCAAGGATATAGATTCTAACTCAACAATGAAGTTCTCTTCCCTTACATCTACCTAAACATAAAAGAGCCTGTTTGAGCCAGATAAATGCCATCCATACCCTGAACGGGAAATTCTTACCTGAACTGGAATGCGGTTAACACCTTAAGATCCTTCACAATTCTAAACTTAACCAATCCTAAGCAGCGTTCTCTGGACCTTAGTAACATATACATATTTCTGAAACTTGCGCATATAATTCTCATTAAGGAGCAACAAATCTGGTGGTCAGTGTAGCTCAACAGCTTAACATAATTTTGCTCGCGCCTTATACATATACATATTTAATTATTCTTTATATACTTATAATTAATATGCATTATTACCACATATGCGCCTTACTTCGATCAGGCTAGCGCCTTATATTGCGCATTGTGCTTAGGCTAAATTAGACATTTGGTGCCTTATTGCGCCTTAAGCCTGTAATAATAGTAGGAAAATTCCAACAAAAGCAAATGCATCACTCACCACATTTTGGGACTCAAACTTAAAAGCTGACGTGCAGTCCACTGAGTCAGCCCAAATGTATGATTGTACAACTATTTTGAGATCCCCACCATTTTTTGTCTAAAAAAAGAACTTTTGACATCCTTTTCGTCCAGCTCTGATTTCTTTACAATCTTGAAAATAATTCTGTTACCAATTGTTTTCACTTTAGCTTTTCAATTAAAACTCTACAAAAGTGGGTTTGAGCTTTACTTTCGTCTTCCTTAATTTAGTTACCTTTTCGCTCCATGCACTTATTTATTTATTTATTTTAATTATCATTGTTATTATTTGAAAACAAGTGAGAAAATTTGTTAGAATATAAAGAAAATAGATATGCAAGGGTATGGTAGGTTGACAAATCCTTCTAATGGAAGAGAAGAGAAACCAAACAAAACAGCTACCACAAATCCACAATAAGAAACAACAACTAACCTAACAAACCAACCCCTAACTGACAATGAAGAAGCTGGTGTGAGGTAAAAATGCCTCCAAGCAAGCAGGAAATGATTGCTCCAAGACCAATAAGCCAGGCTAGCCAGCTTGATCATGGTGGATCTAAGAATCCAAATATTCAAATACTCTCCGCCTTTAAGGAAGTGAAGGGATCTACACTCTCTCTCATTTAGTGACTGCCAAGAAACAGATTTTTATTTTACTCCTTTTCCTTTATTTTCAATCAGAACCCTCCCATACCTATAAAAACATCATTGTTACATGATTAAATCCTACTGCAATAACTATTGTGTCACTATCATTGTTTAAGAACAAAGTGTAGTGCCTACCATCAAGAGCACGCACAATTCCATTCTTGATCTAAGAGAGCCATTACCTAGTGTGTCCTTGTTAATCAAGGGTGTTGGGAGGGACGGATTAGGCATAGACATAACATTTTGGCATAATTTATAGCAATATTGATAGCCTCAAACTCAAACCCTCATCTCATGCTTGGCAATCGAGCTTTGACTACTATACCAATCAATTGTCATATATATTTTTCTATCTAAAGGGCTCTAGTAAATTCCACTGATTTTCTCATTAGTTGCTATTGCAAGTCACCATGAAGTTAATCTAAAATCTGAACCTATGTTATATGGACTCTTCAAAACTAAGTGAAGTACTAGTGATGAGCACACACTAATCGGTCATGGTTATGGGATATGTGTCCAACTCTTTTGGTTGGACATGCACCACAAAACATATCCAATTATTCAATTTTTATCATATTATTGCTTCAAAACGAGTGAAATGCTTATATTAATACATACCCGCACTTGACACACATACCCGAGTCCATGTAACATAAATGTGAACTCTAGAATAGATAATTGATTTTTATATAATCATGTAATGTAAAATCTTGCTATTTAGTGTAATTAGATAGTAATTATTTTTAGCTACTTGTTTCATTATTTTTATCAGAGGCCATTGTTTGGTGGAGTGTTAAAAAGCTCAGGTGTCAAAGGTGGGAATGCAGGTCTGAATCCTAAGAGCAGTCACTTTATGCAAATAATGTCACTTTGTGTACCCTCAATAAACTGAGACCACACTGGCAATGATCCTATCTCTTTATTTTTCTTCATCCTATTGAATATAAATTTCCAATATTCTCATAGTGACAGCAAATCATAAGTCAAACCCTCACCCATTACTATGATTACTCAATTATTGTGTCAAAATAATTTTGTGAGACAAGTGATATGCCGACGACATGGTACGAAAAATTAGCAAGATGGTGTCCTCTCGTGTACATCATGAGAAGACCTGCACGTCCTGCAGAATATATCACGCCTTGTGAGACATCTTGTTGTACCATGAAGACTCAATCAAGGCAATGTTGTGTGACTTATTCAACATCGAAAACCCAACAAAGGCAGTTGAATCTTTAGGATAACCTTGTCCAACAAAGCCAATTACTCTTTTCACCACCCAAACTACGGAGAGACTTTCTCCCCAAAATTACACACACTAAATTTCTCTCTTTCCAATAATCAAATATCAATAAGTTGTTTCTTTGACTTGATACTTTAATAATAGAAAACAGGTATAGTTTATACTTGTTCTTGAATTACAAAAAAGTGATTGTGCATACATTTGTAAATTTATTGCAATTATGTGTTAAATATATGAGTAGCATTAGATATTTTATATTTATATATCTATATTGCACTTTAAAAAAGGAGGGGGGGAGCCCCACAATTGGATATTATTTTTTCACAAAATGGAATTTTTTTTTTTTTTTTTTTAAATCTCAGTTTATCTTTTTAGAATTATATTCATCAAAAAACAATGAATAATACAATAAAGTAATTATTATATTTATCAATATAATATACGTTAAACTATTTAATATGGTAGGAGCATAAAACAAAGGAGAAACACAAGGAAGAGGACATTAATGATTCTCAACTAGTAGAAGATCATGAATTTGACGAGGGAAGTGAATAAAAGAGTGGGGGCAAGCATGATCAAAATGACAAGGACAATGCTAAGAAGATGTTTTGCCATTATGATGACGAGCAAACAAGGATAATGAAATATCTGTCGTATAATTAGATTATTTTGTGCCACATATGTGTTTTTGAATAGCACTGGATACTTATTATTATTTTACTATTATGTAATACGACAAACCCAAGTGCTTCATCTGTTAGAGAGGCGGAAATTAGCGCAATCACAACTGTGATGGTTGTTAAATGTTTGCATACAAGGTGCATAGTTTAAGCTTTTAGAATGTTCTGTGGACGAATTTTGGCTGTTTAATTCTAAGTAACGTCGCTACATTTGGTATATGTATTTTAAATACTCTATAAAAGATGGTTCTACCCAAGCACATATCACAAAAACATAGTTTCTGTTGTCGGACTACAACAAATACATGCTTGCATATCTATGTTTATGAACATTTTGTAGGCAGTTTAAATCCTATGGTTCTTTTGATTGTTTTCAATAACCATAATTGAAATCCACTGCTTCCACCAGTCTTTTCTTAATTAAATTGCTGTGTAAAAATGTATTTTAACCTCACCCTAAAGTTCAATGAGTCTTTTAAGTTAACGTCTAGAGGAGACGTACAAAACGGGGCTTAATGAACAACTTGTTGAGACAGAACTTGAATTCCTAGAGTTAAACCCATCCAAGCAATTCACAGTCAAGAACAGGATCACTCACATTCAATAAGCAAATTTCTCCTCAACCTATTAACCAATCCATAAAAGGGACAGCTGAGCAACAGCAAAACTAGACTGGGAATATCCATCATATGATCAGAAAAAGTTCTAATACTCTCTCAGGGGCCTGAAATACCAGCGAACTCGACCTTTGATCCAAAACAAGTACCAGACCCTAGGAGTCATGAGCTGACCAGACAGAACCCTATTACTCCACAAGTCCTTCAATGTTTAAACTGCATAACACCCATCCCCAACTTTAACTAGCATACCAAGCGATCATCTTTCATAAAGAAATGAAATTAGGTAGATAAATACAAAAATTAAAATTATAAACCCATAAGCATAACTCCTATTACACAGTTCAACTTCCACTGTAAATAAACATTGAACAATCCACTTCACGATCATTTCTCATTTCAAACCAACAACACGTCATTCACTTCAAAATACCACATTTTCCCCCAATATCAATTAGGGCACTGAAACTAGATTAACAAGAGAATCAACAAAACAGTATCGAATTGAGCATAACAACAAAATCAGAGCTTTAAAGAGCACCGATCAAATTCACAAAACAACTAACCTCCAAGAAGCGAGCTTCTTGCTCTAGCCGCTTCAGTTCAGCCGAAATCCGATGCTTCCCTCGCGTATCAGTCGCCGCCACCACCGATGGAACCTCCTGGTTCACTTCCGAGTTTGCCGATTCCATCCTCTCTGCACATACAATCTTAAATCCCTGTATCGTATATCTATATATATCTATATATAGATTCGAAACACTAAAAAAACCCTAAGATATACACAATCAGAGATGGTCAAGACAAATAGGCCATTATAAATGACTACTCTACAAATTTTGAGATTCCATTTCACTGAGTGCAGTAGTTAAGTCTTCATCATGGATCTAAAATCCAAATACAGTTGAAAGTATAGAGAGAGAGAGAGTTGAGAGAGAGAGAAAGAGAAGGGGCAAAGGGTTCTCGCTTTCCCCCAGCTTTTGTTTTTGTTTTTGGGGTATTAAGTTGTGTACACCCTTGAAAGAGAGAGAAGGGGCAACAAACAAAGCTTTTTGGTGTGATTCTTGTGTTTTATGAAAGGTGTTATTCTTTTCTCATTTTCTGTGTCTTTTTTGTCTCTCTGTACTGTTTTCTGCTCTCTTAATTTCGCCACCACTCTCAACTGTAGAGCGTGTGTCACTCTTAATTTGGTCCTATAATTTCAATCTAAAATCTCAATAACACTTTTGAATACAATTTAAATTCATTTATGTTATGTTTGGTTGGTAGGAAGAAAAGAATAGGAGTAGAAGAAAAAATGAAAATAAGAAAGAATGAACAACTTTTTTTTTTTGTTCAACAAAGATACAAGGAAATAAATAATATTAGGAAGGATGAGTCATCTTTCTTTCTTCACAAATTTCCATCCGCCCCACATGGAAGGAAGATAAGAGAGAAGACAAGTGAGCTTATTATAGAAATTTTAAATTATAGACCAGTAAGGGATGGGTTTAATGGTAAAAATAATTTTAAAATTTTTCTTTCTTTTTATGTTACATATCAAATTAAATTGTCAGTTTTTTTTTTTTTTTTTTTTTTTTTCATCCAACAGAACAAAAAGAGGGAAATGGTTAATCTCTTCCCTATAATGTCTCAGTCATCATTTCTTCTCTTCCTTCCATGATTTTTCTTTCCTTTTATGTTATAGATCAAATTAAATTGTCAGTTTTTTTTTTTTTTTCAACAAAAAGATGACTATGACCATAGAATATTGATAATACAATCTTCCATATGAATCTCCAATTTAATTTAAATCTGACTTATTACCGAATTTTCTATATGAAATTTGCAATTTTAATTCCTTCCATATTGAATTAAATTCCACTATAAATAAATATTGTAAGATATTTTGATTTACACTTGAATAAGAAAATGGTAACCGTAGTGAGAGAACTAACATCATGGATAGCCACCGCAACATCATGGTACTAGAACAACCACATCCAATGCTAATTATAAGCATTATTGAATTTATTAGGCAAAAATTTTGGCCCTTCTAGGAAAAAAAAAAAAAAAGAAAAGAAAAGAAAAAGAATTTGGAGCGTGAAAGAACGCTCGTTATTGAGGCGTGGTGTGAGTAGGACGCCGCCACGGTGCTCCAATTGGGACCCAGCTGGAACAGGTGGCGGGTTGTTTGTCTTCACTCGGCGTCTTCTGCACGCGGTTGGTGAAGTGCCACATGATATGAGATGGAGAAATGATCGTTTGTCTGATTGTCTCTGCTGCTCTCATTGCTTACACATGGGTCGGAACACAGAACTACCATGGTTCTGTATGTACCTTAGTCTCTCTCCTTTATTAAAAAACAAAAGTTGTACTGTAATATATATATATATTTCGATAAATAAGTAAACAAAAGTTATAATATGATGAAGTCTGGGTTGAGGACATGAAGGGAGAATTTTGCACCAAAAGTGGCAGTTGTTAACTTTCATCAATTAATCAGCTATATTTTATAATATGGGTGCTTATAGTTAGTGTGCACTAATATACTATTTATATTTTTAAAATTAATTTATTTTTATAGGAACTTCAATAAATAATAAAAATTAACAATACTTCTTTTTTCTGTTTAATAGATTATTTCAATCACTAATTCACACATTAATTGATGACAAAATCCCAGTTGTCAAATTTTTTATGTTCCTTCTTATAAATATAGCATCACAAAATTAAATAAATAACCGTTCTTTTGCTAGCAATGCTCTTAATTTTTGTCATAAATCACATAATTAGGGTGTTATTATCATGTTATGTGCTCTAACTCTCTTTTTCACTATATATAATTTAAATTTTATCCTTTATATATATATATATATATATGAGGTGGATGGGCCGTACAACACATGTATTAACGTGGCATGGGAAAGACACTTGTTTGTCATGCACCAGAGTTGTCAACAATCTAACACCTAGTAAAAAGTATGTATATATATATATATATATATATATTCCATGCCTTCTACCATAAACACACACTCAATCTGTCAAAATGGCCAGCATCTTGGCCATCTCATACAGCTTCATGAAGAAATCAATCCCACTTTATACAATTTTGACCTCAACAACAAAAAAGACCTCGTCGTCACTATTTCATGCAATAATATTACCCGACTACAAATTTTCAGTTCTGCTGGAGCTGCCACGATTGCCTAACCTTCCGGAATTCAATACGATTCCATACGAAAAGCCAGCTGATTCCTTGCCGCTGTCACCTGGACCGAACCCTGGTCCGGATTTCCCACGCCCACCGACTCCATCGCCGCCGGCTCCTGATGCTCCTCGGCCACCGACGCCTTGTCCGCCTGTCCCTGACATTCCGCCACCGGGGCCATTTCCTCCGTGTGCACCACAAATTATACCACCTAAACCATTGTCTCCGGCGAAGTCACCCGAAATTCCGAGACCACTCGTGCCATGATGGAGATGGAGTGGCAGTGAATGGATCATCTGAGGTTTGACAAGTACTCCAGATTATATTATAGTTTGTGAATTATTTTATTTTATTTTATTTTTAGGAAATTATCTTTTGTGAATTTTCCCAAACAAGCAGGATGGTCAACTTTCAAGGCACATGTATAGAAAAGCTAACTTTTGCATCAAGGATAACATCTGTTCATTGGAATCAAATTTATGTCATAAAGATAAACTCAAACCATAGTTCCACTCAATCAAGATTTTCGACACTACATGCCACTAAGTTCAAAATTTTTGCACCAAAATTTGGATTTGTGAGATTTTGCCATGTGGCAAGTATATCAGTAATTATTAAAGCAAATTATATGATTATATATGTAATTTTGTATTGACAAATTGCGATATTCTATTTAAAAGAAACAAAAATCGAATAAAAAACACGAATGGCACCTATTCAGCCCCCTAGCGTTCAATTCCGCAATCATTTGACATAGATCGGACTCACAACTTGGGGACAAAAGTAAGATCCATTAACAATGGCGAACTTAACAAGCTTTAAGCGGTTAAGTTTTAAGCCGTTTTGACATAGTCAGCGTATAATGAAACACCAGTGCAAGAACTATTTTTCCAATATAATGAAAACAACAGTTTGAATAGCACAACACTATATATATATATGTATATTTATATATATATTTCAGGCTTCCGTATATCTATTTATGGACACACAGTAGTACTCCATCTTTGCACCGAATAGCTGATTCTGTAAAAATGTCGGGTGTGTCGGGCATCTCATTCAGTCTCACGAAGAAATCAATCCCACTTCATACAATTACCTCAACCACAACAAACACCTCCTCATCTCTATTTCATGCAATAATAATATTACCAATAAAGAAGACCCCTCCACCACTCTCCAAACCATTTATTTCTCTACAGCCAAATGGCATCTGAACCACCGCCAAAAACCCCGCCGGAGTTTCCCTTCCGGTCCCCACCTGAATACAAACCTATTATTCCACAGGAGCTGCCACCAACTCCTAACGTTCCCGATTACGACCCCAATCCACCAGAAAAGCCTGCTGATCCTCCGCCACCTACGTATCCTGGACCCAAACCGGATTTCCCAGGCCCGCCGACTCCTGATGCTCCTCCGCCTTGTCCGCCTGCCCCTGCTGACATTCCACCTGGGCCTCCCGATGCATTTCCTCCGCGTGCACCGGAGGTTATACCACCTAAGCCACTGGAGGTAGGCCCTACCTCCACATCCGTTGTCACCAGATATTAGTGGGCTGATGGAATGGCAGTGAATGTATTCGTGTAACGTGTGACAACTACTTGAGATTATATTATCGTTTGTGAATTTAATTTCTTGATGGTCATGCTCAAAGCATATATATATGTGTGTGTGTGTGTGTGTAGAAAACCTGGCTTTTGCGTTAAGCAAAGCATGTGTCAATTGGTATCAAATTTATATCATAAAAGATATTTCAAGATTTGTTCAACTATAGCTCCATTGAATCAAGATTTTAGACATTATAGTTTAATATAATTCGAACTACAGTTCCTGAATTAAGAATTTTTAAATTTTTTTACGCATATTAATACTTTAAAACGTTTCTATTGATTTCAATCTGTTTCGGTTCTGACCACATTCATCTATCAGCTCAATCATACGGACAAAAGAAACCATTCACGGTAGTGCCGATTACATCAACTGCGTATTTGTGTGTGTTCTTTGGTACAAATTAAGATTAGAGACAGACATTTAGTGGGGAACAACTAATTCCCTTCATAACATATGAAACAAAGGTGCCTCTCTGTTGTGATGTGATGTGCATTGCCGTGACCCATTTTTGCATCAAACTGCGGAATGAGGCCTATTCTAAACAATATCATGCAAACTGAGTTGCCAAACAGAACCCATCAACAAATGACTTGGACAATAATATATCATATTGGATTATTATCGATTCTTTCTACCAAACAGAGTTGTGATGCCAAAACAGAGTGAGATGTGATGCCAAAAAGAGTTGACAAACTGCCGAATGCCTCTCTGTTGTGATGTGATTTTATTCCATTTTTTTTTCCCCAAAAAAAAAACAGAACAAAGAGTGCATTTCAAAAGATGATTCCCTTTCTTGTAATGTAATGTAGCTTGCTATGACTGATCACAATCAAACAAGACAGATAGATATAATATATTTGGCTATTAGCATTGGTAATTGCTCAACCCATGAACAAATAGAAACAAAAGACCACCCCTTTACTTACTTGCTACAAATACCATCTTCTCACCATCTCCTTCTATCCAAAGAAAATTCTCCACCAATTAACCAGAGTCCTCCTTAATAGTTGCTCGATCGTTTAATTTTTACTATATATCTTGAAAATTCTCAAGGCAAAATAATGGGTGTCACCACTTTTACTGAAGAATATACTTCTACAATTCCTCCTGCAAGGTTATTCAAGGCATCGATCCTCGACGCTCACAATTTGATCCCAAAACTGTTTCCACAGGCCATTAAAAGCATTGATATCATGCAAGGCAATGGAGGAGCAGGCAGCATCAGACAGATCAACTTCGCCGAAGGCTAGTTAATTTGCTTA